AGGTCCCTCGGCGCTCTATGCGAGGTAGAAACGGCGCCCGCTCCGCGCTACGGCCTGACAAGGTCTCGAGAATGTCCTTGGGAGCTCTCCGGGGGCCATGATGGTCGACCACAGCTCAAGACATTCCGCCTCCGTGCTCATGGCACAGGCCCCAGCGGAGCCCACGGCGGACCAGGTCCACTCCACTCCCACCCCCCAAGCCCACCTACATGGAAACTATAGAAAGTGTGGTAAAACGTAGCCTATCGTACACGATATAGCGTTATCTCACCAAAAGCACCCCAGAGAGAGATTTTCAATTTTCCAAAAAAATATAATTGGGAAATTTTTAAATATTTTAAATTCTTTACATGTTTTTCTGAAACGTTTCAATTTTTAGAAAGCACACTGTAAAAAATAGTTGTTGAAAAACAGTGATAACTGTTTTGTTGACAAACAGCGCTGTTTTTCGAGGACAACATACGTTGTTGAAAAACAGCGATGGTTGTTTTCAACTCAAAATAAGAAATTTCTTCTGAACATGACGCGGGCTGCTCTCTCAATCTTTTGGTTATCTATGCGGTCGATTCATTTCTATACTAAAATGTTACGTACAACAGCCCCATGTATGTGGGCAACCTTCATTACTTCATTACTTAATTACCCCTGATAAGTCGACGCCGCTGTCTTTTTTTGTAACTTAAGTGTCGACCCTTTTTTTTTTCGTTACTCGAAAACTCTTTTACTGTTAGTTGATGAACAACTCTTCTTGTTGCTGGACAACACTTGCACTATTAAAAGCTTACAGTGATTTTCACCGTAAGCTACAGTGAAAGCCTGCAGCACCGTAGCTTACGGTGAATTTCACTGTAAGCTACAGTGAATCTCACCGTAAGCTACGGTGAATCTCACCGTAAGCTACAGTGCTGCAGGCTTTCACAGTAGCTTTTTACAGTGTGTTGTTAAACAACAAGACGATGTTGTTGTACAACAGCTCGGAGTTAGTTAAAAACTTAACAACAACTTTGCTGTTAATTTACAGCATTTTTTTTCACAGTGCATCTCAGATTCTTAGAAAAGTTTCCATCAATCTTTCCGGGAAATTTTCGAACCTTAAAATACCTGTACCCCGGAGAAGTTCGTGACTCACCGAGCGAAAGGTCGTAGGCGTGCAGGTACTCGGACGTCATGAACTGCTGGACGATCGACGACTTGCCCACGCCCGCGCCGCCCAACATGACGACGCGGTAGGGCACGGTGCAGGTGGACGAGTCCCGGGACGACGCCAGCGAGCAGGTGGCCGAGGAGCGCGCCGACGTGGGCCCCAGGTGCTCCGTGCTGCGGGGCAAACGGTGAGCTTAAGGGCGAGGAGGAAGAGGGAGGAGGGGAGAGACACAACACGCACGCCGGGAAAACTACCTTCATCAGTGTCACACCCAGAAAAATGAATTCTTCATTCAAGGCTTATTTTGGATTTTTTTCGCTTTTTCTGATTCACTGAAGCCAATTTCCTCGTATAAAGGAAAAAGTTTCTTCGAATTAAGAAAGAAAAATTGCATTAAGAAAACCAAGCCAAGAATGCTGTTTTATGGGTACAGAGATATGGGCCGCCCATCTTCAATAAAACGCTCTAAAACAGAAATGGACAAACAAAGCGGTTGCACATGTTGTCTATTCAAAAGCGTACATTGTGTACTTTAAATAAAGCGTACATAACACGTTTACTTTAATTAATGTGTACATGCCATGTACGCTTTTATAAATGCGTACATGGGAATGAATACATGGGTATGTGCCTAGGTATATGTATACATTTATAAAAGCGTACATACACTGTAAAAAATAATTACGGGCGCCAACACGGAAATATGCCGTTTATTTATTTAACCTACGGCGTCTCCGTACCTTAGGTTTCGTACCCTCTTCCCATAAGAGCCCATGTAAAAAAAACGTGGGTACGGAGCCAGGGTACGAAACGGTACGGAAAAAGTCCTGTTAATTCTGATCCGGAAGGCTTCGTCTTGAGTACGGAGTCTGTTACGGCGTTTCGTACCCCCCTTCCCTATGCCAGCCCATGTAAAAATCGTTGGTACAGTGGCCAGGTACGGTAAATCTCTGAACCAATTTCGAAAATCACTCCCAAAAGTGAGGTACGGAACGCCGTAACAGGCTCCGTATCCAAGACTGATTTTTTACAGTGTGGCCATGTATACATTAATTAAAGTATACATGCCATGTACGCGCTTTCTTTAAGGTATACAATGTACGCATTTGAATTGACAGAGTGAGCTCTGTGTCTGCGCACCTCTCTTTGTCTCTTTCTTTACGTGAAGCAGGTAATCACGAGTAAAAATTGACCGACTTTTCAATGCATGAAGTTCACAACAAGATATAAAAAAAAACACATGAATCATTAGTTTTCCCAGTGCAGGAACACACACAGACACACAGCAATACCAGCTAGCGATCTCACTGAGATGTACAAACAACAAAGCTGCAAAGTACATACACATTAATTGTGAAAAAACACACACCACCCACCACGGTTAAACACTCATTACGGAGCGCCTGAACAGCATCTACACACAGGAAATGGCATTTACAACTCGAGTGCTGTTTCTGCTCGTGCAAAACTCTCCTAGCGTATACACAGATCGGCGTACTACACAAAGTGTGGAAGTGTTCGGGCCACTGCCCTCAGCAGGATCAGGACTTGTGTTAATATTGTGAATGTGGTGCTGTGTGTGTACGGTGCGAGGGCTGCAAGGTCCTCTAAGTGCTCACAAGTAGTGGTTAGTTTTGTAGAATCATTTTCAAGTGTATAAGTTTACCTATCGGTACGTGTTTTGAGTGCGTTAGCTGTTGACGCATGCAGCTTGGCATGCAGCGGGCATAGTGCATCTGTGCCCCCACGTAGGCAGTTTTCAGGTCACAGTGTTGGTGAAACTTGTTTGTTGTAGGAAAGAGCAACACTACCCGCTAAAATTACTTTGAATGGAAATAATTGAGAGGGTTAAATATGGCTCGAATGTTTGGAAGAAAGAACCCACTATGGTCCAACATTAATAGGGGGTGGGGAAATAGAATCTTCGTAGTTCAATGCAGCTGGTATGTCTGTGCGTGTGTGCGTTTGTTGTGTTTTCCACCGGACTCACCGCGCCAAGTCTAACGCGTCCATCAGAGGAGTGTCCTCGTCATCCCCACTGCAAATAACATTTCAGAGTCACGGCACAAGTTGTACAGTAAACAACACAATATGTCTCTCGTTGGTACCTACGCAGTAATAACATGCCCTGGCCTGGGGAGCGGGAGCACGCAGTCAACCTCATTCCAGCAGGCTCTTTATTTAGTCACTGATATGGCGGACTAGGGACGAGTGTCGACACAAACGACTTCAACAAAGTGCACTGTAAAACACTAATGCTTGCCGTTATATTTTTTTACCATTTTATTATTGGGTGGTTCAATAGTGAGAAACCCGGAGAAACCGTCCTGCAAGTTTCCAAATTCTTTCTGTAGTGCCTGGTACGAATTAGATCGTAACCTAATTTTTGTAGCACGTAGTTTACCAACGTCCTCTACGTAGACAATTTTTGATGAACCGGGGGGGGGGGGGGGCACTCCGCTCCGAAGTCAGTTTCTAAAAAGCAAGCACGGGGCGCCGTGGTTGCTTCCCAACTCACTGCTTTTAAGACAGTCCCCAAGACTGTCTCTACGAGAAAGTAAATGGCTCACCCCCCTCACCCGCCCTTTCCTTCCTTTATGGAATCATCCAGAATGTACGTCCGTCATTCGCCGCTACGAACCTGCCAAGTTCAGCCTCTGCAAGCGCTTATACTGCCTGGTGGGTAGGCCACATCTTGCCCGTAGCGATTGCATGTACTGCGGGGTGGCCTACCCTGAGTCTCGCAGGCGCCAATGTGCTCCCGTAATTTGCAAAATGGTCGAATGCATGTGAGAAAAAGCCGATGTACTTTCTAGACGTTTCGCTTCGCACGAAGAACAAGTACTGGTAGCGAAAGCATTTTGAAATCAGTCGAATGAAATGAATTTTCCTAATTAATCTAAAGCCCATTTGGTACTTAAAAGGTCACCATGCTCGCACATCTAGTCCCAATGTTCACCTCGAGTGAATAGTAGTTTTCATCTAGTTACTACTTATCGAGAAACAATTTTTTGCTTGGTGTACTTCCCGTTACTTTTAGGGTAAGATGCCCAATGATGGACACCTTAAGAGATGCATCTGCCCAGTGATGGACACCCCTTTTTCTAGGAATGTAAAGGACGGAGCAAGATAGTTTGGCTTGTTTTACCCAGGTAGGGGTCTTACTAGAACATTAGTTCCGTGCCATGATCGTAAAGTGACGAGTTTGGCTGCAAATCGTGTAAAGTGGCCATCACTGGTACAGTGTCCATCACTGGGCATCTTACCCTACTCTCTCAATGATCGAGCGATCGCCTGGCTCCAAACATGAATAACGACACGCGACCCCCAAAACAGAGAAAAGCCACGGAAAAGTTTACGGTTCTAAGTTTGCTTGTTTTAGCGCTGTCACTCACACTCACAGACCACCGAGGTCTCATGAATAAACGCCATTGATGCGAAGGACAGGATTGCTCGTGATATGGAGGTTTCGTGAATCAAGGTCGTAAAACGTAAAACCTTTCTACCGCATATCGCGGCCACCGGATTCCTTCCTAGTTCGGAAATCTAACAAAATATTCATGAAATTTAAAGAAAACGGCTTGGAAAACGGATACTTTCAATTTTGTACTAAATTAAAATAAAAATCCACAATATTAATCAAAACGTTGAATAAGCGACAATGGCCGCTATTCCTTATTACGTTTCGAACATCGTAAGACTAACCAACCAAGACCGACCACCGTCACAACCGCTGATGGGCGTTCTGAAAAGAAACTCGGCTGATGCAGCTGCATAAAAATCACCGTCTCCTGAAAGAAACCTGAATAAATAATGACGGGTACTCGTTCCTGGATGTCAAAGCCACCACTCGAATCCGCCCCATCAAAACTCCTCCACACAGAACCCTCGGCGCGACAAGCCCTGTCAATACCACGACCAGCATCACCGCGCGGCCGGCTCAATCGGCGTGGTCAGGAGCGGCGCCGCACTCACCTGTGACTCGAGTTGGACGAGGCCACGCTGTTCTTGGAGCGGGAGCGCCGGCTCTTGAGCGAGTCGCCGCGGTTCACGATGCCCTTGCCGGTGATGGAGAAGTGGCGCAGTCGGTAGTACTCCTCCTCGACGCCCGTGTTGGGCATGGAGGCGACGCGCGCGCGCTGCTGCGGCAGGCACAGCAGGTGCGGCCGCTGCCGGTCCGACACGTTGCCGCTGCGCCCGGGCGTCTTGACCGACTGCGAGCGCGCGTGGTGCGTGCGCCCGAACCTGCGACAACACGGACAGTCAGCGAGTCCGCAAAACGCTTTCCGGGCTCTCATCTCCATGCCTCTCACCCAGGAAGTTTCTAGTTTAAAGTTAATTTTTCCTTGTTTCAAGTGCACGCTGGCACAAGATCAAATTTACCTTTGATACAAGCTGATATTTTCTTTCGAATTAAAGAAAAATCTCATTCCAAAGACAATATTGCCTTGATTCAACGGTTAATTTCATCTTGTGTCAGCGTGCACTTGAAACAAGAAACTATTTTTCTGGGTGCTCTTTTGAAATGAATAAAGACATCTCTAGTGTCGAAAGGAACGGGCGTGGAACGCGCAGCCCCACAGCCGATGGCCTCTCGTTCAGATTCCCCCCCTTTAATACATAATTATGCAGGACAGGCCCCCATCTCCCGCGCCCTCCGCACAGAGCAATGGCGCTCAATTTGCTTTGACGCGACGAGGAGCAGGCGTGCTGCATCAAAGTTCAAGGTGAATTGATATCAAAGAACCCTGTGGCGCGCGCGAGGGGGTGCGGAGGGATCCCGGAGGGGCCGAAGGGGCCCCGGGGGAAGCAGGGGCCGGGGCGCTCGACGGCGCTCGACGGCCCTCGACGCACAAGGAGCACAGGCCTCGGAGGGCCCGGCCGCGCCCCGCCCGACCCAGTCTATCTTTGAACAAGGATCGCGTGGCGCCATCAAGCCGCTGAATTTGAATTAGGCGCGCGTTCGCCCCGCATCGGCCCCGGCCGCCGCCGGCGGATGCGCCCACATCGGCGGCCCGGGGCGCGTTTTGTTTTCCAGGAGAAAACATTTCATCGGGTCGTGAAACGACACGGCCGTAGCCGCAACGTCGCCGGGAAAAAGGGGTTCCTTCATTCCAGACAGTTTTCAATGGCCTACGCTCTCCCGGCCTCCGGCCCCGCCCCTCCGGCGGACGCAGACTACCGTCCCGGAAAACTCAAGAAAACTTCGCTTGAAGGAAAATACTTAGGCCCAGACGCGCGCACGAGTCTTTAATGTCGAAGAAAGTCGCGATAGCTCGGGAAAGGGGAGAGAGGGGGAAGGGCGGGGGACGTCATGGCAGAATGGGGCAGAGTGAAACTTCAACCTCCGCCTCAACACCCGCTTCCCCTTCCCCTTCCTCTCCGCGCACCCCTGGTTCACTCTCGTTTCAAAATCCGACTTGAGCTGTCGGATCAGTCGCGCGTGCGCGAGGGCTGGGGGGGTCCGCGCCGGGCTGCGCACCCGACACCAACGTGCGACCCGACGCACAAAGTGGATCACTCGCGCGACGCGGCGGTCCGGTCCGAGTTTCCAATAAAGCACCACCCACCTGGTCTCCAGGCACTGTAGCGTGTTGAAGTGGCTGTTGACGTCCAGGCTCTGCCTGTCCAGGATGAACACGTTGGCGTCAATGTGCTGGCTGTTGTCGCCGCCCTCGGGCGAGTTGGCCGTGACCGAGGGCTGCTGCACGACGATGGTGGCGGGCGCCTTCCTGGTCGTGGTGGTGGTGGCCGTCGACACCTTGGAGGCGCGCCTGCTCTGCGGCGCGGGCCGGTGGCAGTCCGAGTCCGAGTCGTGGCCGTTGAGCGTGGCGGCGGCCGCGGTGTGCGCGTTGGAGCGCGGCTGGTCCGACATGCGCCGCTTGTCGCTGGCCGCGCGCACCGAGAGCGTGGGGCTGGGCGGCGGGTGGTAGTGCGAGTGGCGCCGGTCAGCCACGTGGCTCGACTTTCTGCTCACGTGCTGCTTCCGCTTGTAGTGCCTCTGCTGCGGCAGCTGGGACTGCTGAGGCAGCTGCTGGGGGAGCTGCTGCGGCCGGTGCTGGGGGCTGGTCTTGCTGAGGGGCGTGTTGGGCGGCGTGCAGGGAGGCGATGAGGCCGCCGTCGTGGTCCGCGACAGGGAGGAGAGCGAGATGACTTGCGACGACACCGACGTCCGGCACGACGGCGAGGCCGTGGAGGTGGTCGCCGGCGAGGGTGTCGTCGTCGAGTTGGCCGCCGCCGCGGCCGCGACAGAGGACACCGACGACGAGAGCCAGGTCGGCGACGACGGGTCAAAGTCTTCGCCCTCGTCCTCGATCTCGGTGCGCGTAAAGATGTAGCTCTGGTCGCCCGTCTTGCGGTGCAGTGCGCTCAGCAGCGGCGTCGTCGGCGTCGCCTGGAGGCGCGAGTCCCCCGGCGTCCCGGGCTTGACGAACACGTCCTCATCCCGGCTGTCGCGGACGCGGTCCAGCGAGTCTTCCGTCGTCTCGCCGTCTGTCGCCGTCACGGCCGTCACCTGCGTGGTGGCCGAGTCGGTGCTGGTGTTGATGGTGGTCTCGGAGGTGGTGCTGGAGCCCATGATGACTACGGTGGGGATGGGCGGCGGCTGCTGCTGGAGATTGGCATGCTTCCCCTTGTACCTGCGCAGGCGAAAAACACACGTTGTTAGTTCGGTAGTCTCGCGGACCGGGGCGCTGCGCAGCCTCCCCAGCTGCGCACTCGCAGCTGCAATGCCACAGCTGCTCACTCGCAGCTGCACAGCTACACACACTCACCTGCGGCTGGCCGAGGACTTGAAGTGCAGCCTCCGCAGCGCCGAGGACGCGCTCGAGAGCAGGTCCTCCCGGCCACCCGACGAGTGGCTGGGCGAGCTCTTGGGCGACCCCTTCGGCGTGGCGTCGGCAGAGTGAGCCCCGCTGGACGAGCCAGAGGACCGGTGCAGGATCGTCATCTTGGCGATCGCCTTGCTCTGCGACAGGCGCCGCAAGCTCTGCAACAGCGAGGTGCCGGGGCGTGAGCGTGAGGAGCCGATAGGACCATAATGAAGGAGCAGGGAGCGGCTGCGACGGGCGCCGAGGTAGTTCGGCAAACTCACTGAGTCGAGCGAGCGGAGCGGGGCGCGACGGGCACATGAATTGGTAAGCCGACAGGGGCACTTGGCTCACGTGGACGCGCCAACCCCCCACCGTCCACGCAACAAGGCAAACTC